TAATCGTGATTAATTTTTTTGAGTTAATTGCGTGAGTTAACTGCGATTAATCGACAGCCCTATTGCAAATTCATTTAATTTCTGCCGGTGAAAGCCACGTATTGGATTGCAAAGCATAATTAGCATGCAGAGCTGCTGGGCCCTGTGAAATGTTCCTCTGGGTATTGAAGGGCCCTGGTAGGGTGCAAGGTGAATCGACATTGGCAGTGTCTCTGGTAGTGGCTGGCAGATGAACACTACTGTAGCTTTTTCTGAGCAGTCAGGCTGAGATCTCCCTAGAGCTAAGCTCCCCATTCCACAGTACAGATCCAGGTGTCCTTTCTTCCAAGCGGGCTGCTGTTAATTTGCCTGGCTGATTGCTTTCAGTCGCCTCTGCTGCTACCCAAAGGCATTTGTATTTGGCTGACAGCTCTTTACCTGCCTGCTCCAACTCCTGGTTCTTCGTAATTGGTTCGGTGGTTAGATCTAATGCAGTCCGGTTGCCACATAAGTGGGTGTGATGCCCTGAACTCACCGTCAGGCCATCCCTGGGGAATGCCTGGCAAGGGAGAGAAATGGACTAGGACCGCAAGGGGTGGTTTTGCTAAGTAAGCCGTTTGCCTGCCAGCCTTTGTTCCTCTCTTCCCTGCTGTGTTGGTTGAAGTGAAGAACCAGATCTAGGTGATTGCTGTGCAACCAGGAGCTTCTGTCTGCACCAATGTCTCTGTCAAATGTCAGGCTGAGAGATTCCAAGGCCAGAGGGGACCATTGTGATCATCTAGTCCAGGGGTGGGCAAACTACGGCCCGCGGGCCAGATCCGGCCCCTCAGGGCTTTGGATCCGGCCTGCGGTGCCGCCGGCACCATGTCCCTGCGGCCCCCGGGCTGGGGGACAGAGGGCTCCATGCGTTGTCCTTGCCTTCAGGCACCGCTCCCTGCAGCTCCCATTGGCTGGGAATGGGGAACTGCGGCCAATGGGAGCTTCGGGGGAGGTACCTGGAGGCGCTTCCTGGAGCGGCATGGGACAGGGCAGGTGTGCAAGGAGCCTGCCTTGGCCCCAGTGCGTGCCGCTGCCACCCCGGAGCCCGAACCCCTCCTGCACCCCGCCCCCCAACTCCCTGCCCTAAGCCCCCTGCCTGCACCTCGCACCCCTCCTGCACCTCAACCCTCTCGCCCTGAC